TTTTTTTTTAATTTTTATTTTTAGTTATTTCAGTGTTTAATTAAAGTGTTGGAATTTTTTCCTCAATTTGCATTAAATCTATAGATCAATTTAGGAGGGAATTTACATTTTGTTAAGTCTTACTGTTCATAAACATATCGCATCCATCAACTTAGTTAAATTTTCCTTGACAATAATGGAAAGTTCTCCCAAAAAGCCTTAAACATTTTAAGTAATTCTTTAAAACTCCTAATATAGGAAGCATTTTAGAAGATAATTGTCAACCTAAATAAACGAAATACATATAAATGCAAGCAGACATTGATGTCGTAGAGAGTGTGTGTGTGTGTGTGTGTGTGTGTGCACGCGCGTGCACACCACGTCTTGGTTCTATTCCATCTTTTGCTTACAAGACTTTGCTTATAAGACTTCAGGCAAGCTGTTTATAGCATCTTTGATGCTCATTCTTTTTATCTCTGTGATGACTACAACATCCCTTCCTGTTGGGGTTGTGGTGAAGACTAAATGCTGTAATGTGTGCAGAGTGTCAAGTGATGATAAACCAAGTGGATGAAACTATTCCATGAGGGGAACTGCTCTCATTCACCTCCAGGGAAACAGGAAGCACTCTGAACGTGTTTGGTTCTCCAGTGGCTTTGACAAAGTGGTAGGATGGACAGATTGCCTTGCATCATTTCCCTGACAAATTTGGAAAAGGTTAGTGTTACTCAGCAGCCTGCTATGTGCTGCTTCTGACAGGCGAGCTGGAATCCCGCGGTTGACAGCCAATTCATTTTGCTGATTCATCCATTAGAGTTGTGGCTTTGAGCCAGAGCTTGGCTTCCAGATTAAAGGCCAAGAGCTGCAAAGCTGCTGGGATTTGAATGAATACTGGTAAATTATTGCCATGTGAAGGCCAGCAGGGAAAAAGGGACTGTTAATTTGTTTTCTCTTTTAAGTGATTCTTACTCCAGAAGGGTAAGATAAATGCTCAGATAAATTCCCTCACCATGTCAGAGAGTCGTTTGTAATTTTTGTCTATCATTTAGGAGCCAAATTAAAGGACACAATCAGATACTGTTAAAGAGATCATTTTAGCTTCCTGATGACCCTGCAATCACCTCTGCTTTCATGGGAAACATTCACCTAAGCCTTCTTTTTCCCTTGGTAATCCAAATTAAACTTGAGAGTGAGATTATTACAGGTGTCATCTCTTTTGGGCTCATTTGCAAAATAAACCTTCTAGACTAAAAAAGAAAATTTATAGAGGAAAACCAGGAGGCGATTATTTGCCAACAGTTGATGTAGAATAATGATGGTGGAACCTGTGAGTTCTGTGCTCGCTTCAGCAGCACATATACTAAAATTGGAACCTGTGAGTTCCACTTGTATATCACATTGGGAGGTTCATGTGCTTATAGGAAGTTTCGAGCTTATAGGGAAATCGCCTCTATAGGCAATTTGTGACAGGGTGAGTGAGCTTTGAGAAGGTGGGGATTGTGTCTGGTGTTACTAAATTCCTTGCATAGGCCCTGGGACCAAGACAGTAAGCAGTCACTGGATGGATAGATGGGTTGATGTTGTTTGTTGGATGTAAATTGTTGGGAGGCTGGATAAATGAGTCCAAAAATCAGAAATATGACACGTGGAAAGTTGGAAAAGTAACTGTTCCAAGGAATAAAATCTTCAAGAAATGACCCTATTTCTGTGATTCTCTGATATGAGTAACTGTGTTCACTAGCACATCTCCAGAGCTGGCTGGCTTCCAGTTTATCTTCTTGTGAATGAGTCAGAGCACGCTGTATGGAGCTCACATTTCAGGAACTCACTCTACTTTTTTGAGAGACTTTGTATAATATGAAAGTTCTCTAATACTTTGGGGTTCTCTCCCTTTCTCTCTAAATCAAGTGAATATTTGATTGTACACAAACTTTTTGGTAAAATGTGTGTTTTTCAGGAATAGTTTTCTTCCTATTTCATTTCTTAGATGACTGGATATTTTTGCACAGCATTCTGGAAACTGTTGTTGTGCTGAGAAGTTTTTAGTCAAATTCGGTCTACTTGAAGATTAAAAGTCTCAGGCATCAGGAGTGTGGACCACTGTCTCTTATGCAGTTGTCTTGATCTCTCAGACTTAACATCCCTGATGTACCACACTCCCTTGTCCAATTCTGATGTGCTCAGACCTGCTTGCCCATCAATCCACATGCTGTACTCTGTCCTATGTCCATTCACGTAGCATTTATTGAGAACTACTCTGTACCCAGAACTTTTCTAGGTACATGTTTCTGAAGTCATGATGCTTTTGCAGCTACCCAGGACTGCCCGTGACAGCACAGACAAGCACTTATTATCTCCCTGCCAGTGTGGGTGGTAAGTGCCGGCAGTAATAGTGGGCCAGGAGGTCATTTGTCCAAACCGCATAAGCCAGAAGCAGTGGTGGCACACATCCACCGACAGGCCCTCCTGTGGCTCTCCCTCCCACACTACCAGCATGTTCCTTCCACCAGCCCCAGTGGAGGAGGCAGCATGAGATTAGCACAGAATTTACCTGGCTGTGGTCTGAAGCATAAACACCTAGAGGGGTGGGGGTAGGAATAAGCTCCAGATCTCTAGTACTCTTGCCAGCTAGAGGCACATTATAGAGAATGAGCATCTTTCACAGCAGAAGGAAGGAAAGAAGCGTGGAGCTCCCTATTGTGGAGCTGTCTTAAATCTGCAGCCTACCAAGTAAGGGGCACAGTAGCAAGGACAGCCCTGGCACTGGGGGCAGAGCAGCCCAGCTTTGCATCAGGCCTTGCTGCTCACCACACTTCGGCCTTTGTGACCCTGCTTTCTCATCAGTAAAGACATTTCTTCCCTTGCAAGTGTCCTGCAAAGACTAAACATAAAGTCTGGGGCACAGACACACAGGAGACAGTCAGTATTTGACACTGTGATTACCACCACTGTTTATATTGCTTTTGTTGTCATTTTCATTTTTAACAAAACAGTGAAGACTTACAGGTTTCCTTTACTAGCTTTGTTCATTTTCATTTTCTTACTCTGAAAATTAGTATTTTACTTATGTCACTATAGTTACTTACAGTTTACAAAGCACTTTCACACTGTAAGGGAGATTGGAGAGCAGTGACTCTCTTTTCTCCACATGAGGAAACTCAAACTTGGAGAGTTGATGGGACTTGCTCCAGGTCACCTTTCTTCTAAGTTGGCCATGCCAGGGGCAAGCTTAGACCTGAACCTTTGGCTATGTTGGACCACCTTTCAAAGTGACAACTTTGGGGCTAGGCAAGACCTTCATAAGGTTTTTTTTCCTTTGCTTGCAGCTGTCAATACCAGCAAATACGCAGTAAGCTATCGGATCCAGACCTATGCTGAGTATGTGGGGAAAAAACAGCAAGAGAAGCAAATAAAGAGAAAGTGGACAGAAGATGGTTGGAAGGAGGATGACAGGAAGCGGTTGAACACACAGTGTGTATCCTACGCACTGCAGAATCACTATTACTGCAACAATAGGTAAGAGTTCTTGGCTGTTGATTTTAAAGGACAAAGTTATAGTACTAGCTTTTCTTGTTGCTTCTTATTGGATTGTAAATAATAAATCTGACTTTTGAGAAAGATTGTTTTCAAATTTTTCACATATCAGAAGCGACTACCACTTTAATTCCCTGTGTCTTAGAGAACACAGCTATTTCATTTAACCCCCTTGAAGCAGACAGGATATGTCTTATTCTACTTTACGGATGAGGAAATGGAGGCTCTGTGACTTCTCTACCAGTTCTGTAGGAACCAGAGTTAAGGTTGATTTTGTCTGTCTCTGACCCTCTGCTCTTCTCCCTGTGCTGTGTTGCCTCTGCCTGCACTTCTGAACACATTTCCAATCCCATGTGGATATTGAACCACACGCGTGCTATAGAATGAGTACTTGGCACAGCCTTCCTATGGTCATCATGATCCTACCTTCAGAGATAAATGCTGGCAACATTTGGTATCTTTGTGAAACTGCAGAACACAGGTATAGAAAATAGGAAAGAATTTATATGTAAAAAAATGTATGTTCATTATAGAAAATTATGAAGTTTAGAAAAATATGAATTAACAAAAGAAAAACTTAGCCATAATTTCATCACCCAGAAAAAAACTACTGTTAATATTTAGTATTGCTCTCCATACTTTTAAAATGATTTTCTAGGGACTTTAAAAATTGAGGTATAATTAAGATAGAATAAATCTTAAAGATTAAGCTCAGAGAGTTTTAATAGTTACATATACCTATGTAACCATCACCCAAAACAAGATATATAACATTTCTATTTCTTTCTTTTAATTATTGTTGGGGATTCATTGAGGGTACAAAGAACCAGGTTACACTGCTTTCATTTGTTAGGTAAAGTCCCTCTTACAATTGTGTCCTACCCCCAAGAGGTCTGCCTTAACCCCCAACTGCCCCACTCCTTCTCTTTCTCCACTCCCCCATTCTCCTACCCCCTGCCATATACTAACATCAGTTGTCCTCATATCAGAATTAAGTACATTGGATTCTTGCTTCTCCATTCTTTTTTTTCCTTTTCGGAGACAGAGTCTTGCTATGTTGCCCTCGGTAAGGTGCAATGGCATCACAGCTCACAGTAACCTCAAACTCTTGGACTTAAGTGATTATCTTATCTCAGCCTCCCAAGTAGCTGGGACTATAGGTGCCCACCACAACATCCAGCTGTATTTTTGTTGCAGTTGTTGTTTAGCAGGCCCAGGCTGGGTTCAAACCCACTAGCCCCAGTGTATGTGGCTGGTGCCCTAACCACTGAGCTATAGGCACCAGGCCTCACCTTCTTTTTTGTGTCTGAATAGTATTCCATGGTATACATATACCATAGCTTGTAAATCCAAGTTTACACAGTTTGGCAATTGTAAATTGAGCTGTGCTAAACAGTCTAGTGCAAATGTCCTTATGATAAAATGATTTTTTTCTTCTGGGTAGATGCCCAGTAATGGGATTGCAGGATCAAATGGGAGGTGTAGTTTGAGTTATTTGAAGATTCTCTCTACTTCCTTACAAAAAGGTGGTTTTAGTTTACAGTCCCACCAGCAGTGTAAAAGTGTTCCCCTCTTTCCATATCCATCCCAGCATCTGCAGTTTGTGATGTGGGCCATTCTCACTGGAGTTAGGTGATATCTCAGGGTGGTTTTGATTTGCATTTCTCTAATAATTAGGGACAATGAGCATTTTTTCATGTTTGTTAGCCATTCATCTATCTTCTTTAGAGAAGGTTCTATACATCTCTCTTGCCCATTAATGTAAGGGATTGTTGGCTTTTTTTTTTTTTTTTTTTTTTTGGCCAGGACTGGGTTTGAACCCGTCATCTCCGGCATATGGGGCCTGTGCCCTACCCCTTTGAGCCACAGGCACCACCCCTGTTGACTTTTTTTATGTTGCTTAATTTGAGTTCTCTGTAGATCCTAGTTATCAAGCTCTTGTCCAATTCATAATATGAAAATATCTTCCCATTCTGTTGGTTGTCTGTTTGCTTTGGTTGTTGTCTCCATAACTGTACAGAAGCTTTTCAGTTTAACTAAGTCTCATTTGTTTATCTTTGTTGTTGTTGCAATTGCCACTGGAATCTTCTTCATAAAGTCTTTCCCCAGGCTAATAGCTTCAAGTGTTTTCCCAACACTTTCTTTGAGGATTTTTATTGTTTCACACCTTAGATTTAGATCTTTTATCCATCTTGAATCAATTTTAGTGAGTAGAGAAAGAAGTGGGTCCATTCTCAGTCTTTTACATGTCGCTATCCAGTTCTCCCCAGCACCATTTGTTGAATAGGGATTCTTTTCCCCAGTGTATGTTCTTGGTTGGTTTATTGACGATCAGGTGACTATAAGATATTAGTTTCATCTCATGATTTTTATTCAGTTCCAGATGTCTGTGTCTGTATTTTTGTGCCAATACCATGCAGTTTTAATCATTTATGGCCTTGTGATGTAGCCTACAGGCTGATATCCCGGGCTTTGTTTTTATCACTAGGAATTGCTTTACCTATATGGGGTTTTTTCTGGTTCCATATAAAATTCAGGACTATCTTAAGAATATGATGTTGGTATTTTAATGGGGATTGTATTGTATCTATAGATTGCTTTGGGAAGTATAGATATTTTAACAATGTTGATTCTTCCCAGCCACGAGCATGGTATGTTCTTCCATTTGTTAATATTTTCTGCTATTTCTTAGGGTTTCATAATTTTCTTTATAGAGGTCCTTCACCTCTTTCGTTAGGTATGATTCCTAGGTATTTTGTTTTCTTTGAGGCTACTGTGAAGGGAATTGTGTCCTTGATTAACTTCTCATCTTGGCTATTATTGGCATATACAAAGGCTACTGATTTGCAGAGAAGATTTTATATCCTGAGACATTATTGTATTTCTTGATCACTTCCAGGAGTCTTGGGTTTGAGTCTTTGGGATTCTCTAACTATAAGATCATATCGTCAGCAAAGAAGGAGAGTTTGACTTCCTCTGCTCCCATTTGGATGCCCTTTATTACCTTCTTTTGCCTGATTGTATTGGCTAGAACTTCCAGCACTATGTTGAATAGTAGTGGTGATAGAGGAAAACCTTGTCTTATTCCATTTCTTAGTGGAAAAGCTTTCAGTTTTACTCTATTCAATATAATATTAGCTGTGGATTTGTCATAGATGGCTTCGATCAGTTTAAGAAATGTGCCATCTATGCTTAAATTCTTCAGAGTTCTGATTAGAAAAGGATGTTGAATTTTATCAAATGCTTTTCCTACAACTGATTTGCATATGATCTGAGAGGATGGTATATGGTCTTTGTTTTTGCTTCTGTTGATACAGTGAATTATGTTTATGGACTTGCATATATTAAACCACCCTTACATCCCTGGGATGAAACCTGCTTAATTGTGATGTATGACATTTTTAATGAGAAGCTGTAATCTCTTGGCTAGGATTTTATTGAGAATTTTTGCATCTATATTCATTAGTGAAATTGGTCTGAAGTTCTTTTTAGTTGAGTCTTCCTGGTTTTGGTATCAGGGTAATGTTTGCTTCATAGACGTATTCCTTCCTTCTCAATTTTTTGGAATAGTTTATGCAATCTGGGTGTAAGTTCTTCTTTGAAGGTTTGATAGAGTTCTGGTGGGAAGCCATCTGGACCAGGGCATTTTTTTATTGTTTGATCGCAGTGCTTGAAATTGGTCTGTTCAGGAGATCTATTTCTTCTTGATTAAGTCTAAGGAGAGAGTGTGATTCCAAGTATCGATCTATTTCCTCCACATTATCAAATTTCTAGGTGGAGAGTTTCTGGTAGTATTCAGAGATAATCTCTTGTATCTATCTGTGGCATCTGTTGTTATTTCCCCTTTATCATTTCTGATTGAGGTTACTAGAGATTTTACTTTTCTGTTTCTAGTTAGTCTGGCCAAAGGTTCATCTATTTTTTTTTTCAAAAAAATCAACTTTTTGTTTTATTAATTTTCTAAATGATGCTTTTCTTTTCCATTTTATTAATTTCTGGTTTAATTTTGGTTATTTCTTTTCTTCTGCTAGTTTTGGGGTTAGATTATTCTTTTTCCAGTTCCATAGATGGTTTCTGCGTATGTTGATGCTCTCACTTTCTCTTTGTTGAATATAAGCATCTAAGTGCAATAAATTTTCCTCTCAGGACTGCTTTTGCTATATCCCACAGATTTTGGTAACTTGTGTTTTCATTATTGTTATGTGTGAGGAAATTAATATTTAAAATTGAGATGTCTTCTTGTTGTCTTGTTCTTTAACCAGTATGAAATGTCCATCTTTGTCTTTCTAACTTTAGTTGCTTTGAATCCACTTGTATCTGAGAATAAAATTGAAACCCCTCCTTTCTTCTGATTTCCATTTGTCTTTCAGGTCTAGTGTCTCCTGGAGATAGCGTATAGATGGCTTGTGTTTTTTTATCCATTCAGCCTGTGCCTCTTCATTGGGAAATTCAGTACATTGACATTTGTTGAGAGAATTGCTAAGTGTGGTAGAATTTTATCATCTTGTTATGAGAAAGTCTGTTGTGTAGTTTTATCCTTTGTGCCATCATGTAAGCTAAATTTTGGCCTTTAGCTTCTAGGTGTTTACTTTGGTGGTGGTCCATTGTGGTGATCAGTGTGAGAATAGGTCTAAGTATTTCCTGTAGTGCTGGTTTTGTTATGGTGAATTTCCTCAGTGTTTCTATATCCCCAAAGGATTTGATTTCTCCATCAGTTTTGAAGCTTAGTTTAGCAGGATACAGAATTTTGGACTGAGTTTTGTTTTGTTTAAGGATATTGAAGGTGTATGACCATCCTCTTCTGACCTGGAAAATTTGAGTTGAAAAGTCTGCTGTCATCCTAATGGCTCTGCCCTGTAGGTCAGTTAGCACTTAACTCCTAGCTGCTTGCAGTATTTCCTCTTTCATCTTGACTTTGGACAGATTCATTACAACGTGTCTTGGAGAAGCTCTGCTAGAGTTTAGATGACCTGGAGTTCAGT